AACAGTACAAACACTAACTTCTGGTGATCAGTATACTTATCTGCCACTCAAGGAGGTTGCCTCAAAGATTATCCAGTGGCAAATGATGGTCAGATCATAAAATACCTCAAATATGTTAATAATACTACAAGCCATTGCCCAGATGTCACTTTTCAAATACTTTCTTGTCAGTTCAAGAAATTAAAAAGGTATGCTGCTTTTGCTCTATCTTTTAAAACAGGAAAATCTCAGCTCAAGTTCCTAGAGTCTTTCCAAACTAGACCTTTGAGAATGTATTTGGAAACCTCTTTACTTGGCTCTTGAATTCTGTCAACTCAGAACTGTCTTACACTCAGGTCACCCTAAGTCAGTTCATTTTCTTGATTGCTTTAAGAAAGAGTTGAGTGAAATGAAAAACAACAGGGTCCCCAGAATCATCCGGTCCCTGGTGTCTCTCCCCACTGACCCCAGACCCCTCCCTTACTGTTATTTCTATTCGTGCCTCATTGCCTATGGCGTTGGGACTCCTAGCTTTTTCTATGCCTGGAAGATAGGAACTGGCCTTTCTGCTGCAGAACGTGGACTCGATACATTCAACAGCAGGGGATCAGAGCCATTTGGGAGACAGCGGGAGTCCTGTCTGGGTAGCCTGGGTTCCAGTCACTTCAGCCTTTCAATCTTTTATTTTGCCAGTTGAGTGCTCCGGGGTTAATGTCTAAGGATTCTATCGGATAACATGAAACTCCAAACCTGTGAAACTCCAAACCTGATGTGCTGCCTGTGCATTCACATTTCTACCAGGCACAGCTTGGACAAGCATGGGCCTGCCCGGAGCCCTGTGGGGAGTGTACCTCTTGCCACTGTCTTGCACTGTGTGCTCCGTTGGCAACTGGCCACAGCTTCCCTATCTCCAGGAGCTGTTCATAGGGGAAAAGTTTACTGGGCACCCATTTAGTGACCAATCCCTAGAGCCTAGAGCAGGCAGTCTGTGTAAAATCTAGGAGTTTACAGTTTACTTGCAAATTATTATGCTCGCCAGTGGCCATCCCACATTTTGGGGAGACAGGCTAAAAGAAACACTTCAAATCCTTATCCAGCGCCCATCCAGCGATCATCATTGCTTCTCTTTCAGGATTTGTTTGAACTCAGACCTGTCTCCCACAACCAATTTACACCTCTTATCTGATCATCCAGTTCAGACCGAAGGGTGAATTGACCGAATTTGCCCGTGTCCATGGCAATGGCATTAAAACTCGAGTATAGATCAAAGCTCTCCTGACAAGGAGGGGGAGGGTAGATGGTTATGGGGTCTGGGTTCTTTTGGCCCCAAGCGATGTGTCCTGGAGGTGGGGACCTTAGGACTTGGAGTTGCCACCATTTGAAGAAACTCATCGTCAGGACTTGAATAATTTCCTGAGCAAACCCCCGTCCCCTGCAGATCATGATTAACTCTAGCAAAGGGGAGGTTCGTAGCGGGCGCTGACGGGGAATGGCTAGCGCCAGGGGGCTCTCCTCTCTATCTGAAACCGAAAGGAAAGGAGGCGGAGGGAGGGGAGCCGAGCAGTGAGCACACGCCGATAAACCAGAGCGTGGATCCCCTACCCTCTCATAAGAAATTCAACCAGAGCCGCAGAAGCCGCAACGCGTATAGGCGAGATCTCCTAAACTTGGTCTGGAAAGCGGATTCCCGACCTTCCCTAACCCAGATGATTCCCAGAGGGCGACAAGTCCATTCCAAATCCCTCCCCAACCTTCAAACACTAGCGCTACTGGTGCCCCCCCAACCCCCACCCAGCCGCCAGACGCCTGCGACCGGGTGGGAAAGATCCGCTGCGCAGTCAGCCCTAGGCGAAGGGCGGGGGCAGCCGTTTAATCACAGCACGCCTCGCCTCCATTAACTTGTGTTGATATTAAAAAGAAATCAATCAGTGAAAATGAAGGATTGGCCGTGAATATTTCTTTTTCTCACGTGGAAAAGCAAAGAGCGAGGCGGCTGGGGAGGGGAGGCGGGAACTCGCCGGCGACTGCAGGCAGAGGCTTCTCCGCAGACCAGAACTGCAGCGGAGACCTAACTTTCCCGCACTGGGTAGCGTTGAGGAAATGCCGCAGGGTTTTCCCTGGGGGTGTCCTTAGAGGGAGGAGGGGACAAGCATGAAGTGGTTGGAGACGGCCAACTTCGCGGAGGCTTCAGCCTCGGTTTTGCTTTCGCTGGGAATATTTTTGCTTAATAGAATGTTTATGGATCGCTGGGCTCTGTTTCTGCTGCGTAGCCCAAACAAATCGATGCGGCGTTAGAGACGGCGCTGGGGGACGGGGAGGGGGAGGGAGGCCTAGAAGGAGAGCTGAGGGGCTACCACGTCCCCACCACGTGGATGGCTGCGCGCCGCGTGCTCTTCACCTGTTCCTGTGCACTGGCGGGCTCTGGGCGCGCCGCGATCTAGAGGCTGTGCAAGTTGCGCGCATTCCTGCGGCTCTAGCTGGCTCCTTCCCGCCTCTCTCCGCCCTCCTCTCCGAAATCCCACCCCAGCTTCCTATCACCCAGTTGGGCCAGAGCTTGGATTCCCAAGCCCGCCGGCCTCGGCCTCCCGCTACTCAAAGCCGGCTCTCTAGGAGTCGCGGCAAACCTGCGGCGCAGAGCGGAGCGCTGGGGACTGGCGGGGGTGCCCGGGGCAGAGATGGAGACAGACTAGCGACTGCGCTGCGGTCTGGCTAGGCGGCGCAGTGAGGAGAGGGGCAGCCCATGCGGGCTCCCAGCCACGCACCAGCCCAAGGTGCCGCGCGCCGCGACTGCCGTGTTATTTTCTCAATTGCTCCCCCGCGTGCACCTTCTGTCCCCTCTTACGCCTTCCCAGAATTGGTTCTCGCCGGCGGCGGCGGCAGAACCGGGCCCCTTCCCGGCTGGCGCACATCGGGTGAGTCAGAGGTCTAGTTCGGCCTCGCCCTGGTCACACGCTGCCTGCTCCCCGGGTGCAAGTCCGTTGCTCCGCCTGAAAGCCTGAGCAGCCCACGGCTTGCGATCGCATTTTGGGGAGCTGGAGGTTCCCGGGAAGTCCCAGCTTCGAATCCCACCCTGAGATACCACCCCGGGTCCGAGGTTGCCCCGAACTCCGCGCCTCTGGGCTTCTCTGGAAGTGACGCAGCACGGTCGGGGGTTGGGATGGGAGGGGGTTCTGCAGAGAGCGCGGGAGGCAGGTGGCAGAGCGGGAGTGGGTCCAAGCGGGTGTCGCGCACACACGTACACACACTCCATGCAGCGCTCGGGGACAGATGTGCGAACATCTGGGATAGGAGATGGCCCCTGAGTCTTCACGACCCCTCCCGCTCCGCACAGCACACTGAACCTGAAGTTGCATGTGTATGCGCGCCGGTGTGAGTGCCAGTGTGTGCGCGCTCGCGCGCTGGGGCCTACAGGAGTCCGTGTCTGAATACATAATATACTGTGGGCATTCTCACGGCGCGCACGCGTGCACACACACACACACACACACAGCGGATCACACAAACATACACAATTAACGCAGCATCCAGGTCTGTGAGAGGTAATTTAATTCCACTTCAAGCCAGGAAGTTAGAATTAAGGCAAGAGGGAATGGGGAGGCCCAAAAAATCTCCCCAAGTGGGACCCCCCCACCCATCCCTTTGATAGGATTTGCAGCTGCCCTGAAGACCACTTATGGCAAAGAAAGAGCTGAAAACGTGCGGATTTGGGTAGCAAAGGCATTTCTAAATTTTCCTCCCCCTCAAATAAATGCCCAAGCTTAAAGTGGCGTGTGTGCTGGTTGAGGGTTGGGGAGGGGAAGAAGGAAGGGTGACAGTGCCAGATGCAAAGTTAGGACCCACTAGCTGATGTTCTAGGGGATGCCCAGGAGGCTGCAGAGTTAGCCCTACCACTGCCGCCATCGCCTTGCAAGTGGCTTGGGTGAGGCACTTCAGGAAGGCTTTTTCTTCTTTCTTTCACCCATTTCCTCCATAGATGGTTTCTCCATCTCCAATCACCTGTAGCAGCTGCGAAGAATTTTGTTGTGAGATTCCAGATACGGTTCTCAGAGGGGGAGAGAGACTCACTCTACAGAGTGGTCCCGGGAAGGAAGCACAAGCCCCACTGCATTCCCCATGGAACCAGAGATCCCTTCCCAGAGAGCATATCCCTAGCCCGACGCCCACAAATGTGGTCCCCAGACTGCTCTGGGCCTCGAAGTGCTGATCTCCACAGCAGCCTGTCCAGACACCCTCTTGGCAGTGGTTGAGAACAAATTCCACTCAAAAGTTTCAAACCACTGCACTAGAGTGACAGACCTTCAAAGGCCTGCAATTTGTTTTATCTAATAATAATTTCTTAAAAAACGTATGATTTACTTTCCCAGACAACACATGGATGAAGAGAGAAGGGATGACCAGCCGCCTTGGTTGCCAGCATCACCCAACCCCAAGACCCTCTCTCAGCCACAAGCCAACTTGCTCCACCAGCCTGAGCCCTAGGATTTTGAGGCATATCCAACCATTCTCCAAAGAATCTACAGCCTCTGAAAACCAAAACTAAACTCTTGTCTTTCCCAAGCCCTTCAGTTAACATTGCTCAATGTAGCTTAGTGGAGGGAATGCAAATGATTTATATTTCACTGGCTAGGTTGGAGAAACTCAAGGGAGATGTGTTCTGCTTCAAGACAGAGAGAAAAAAAATCCCCAAAAACTGTAATGCAAAGGCTTTGTAGTATTTTTAAACCTTTGATTCAGTCCATATGTGACATCTGAACACCGCCAAATTCTGTTTCAAAACACACACACAACACACACACACACACACACACACACACACACCCCACATTCTCCTAGTAGGAGAGGAAAGTTGGGTTTTACCAGCCGTGGTGGTGCAGGGAGGGTCGGCTGGGATCTCTCTTTAAATTATTGAGTACTGAGGGAGCCTCCTTCTGTGCTGTTCTGCGTGGCCTCCCTGCTTTAGCGATGGCTTTTAAAGGGGAAACCATGTTGCAATAAATAGAAAAAAACTTTCAGTGGCTTACCTGATTGGCCTCTCACTTGGTGTCTTGAAAAGTAGAGGGCTAAGAAAACCCAGGTGAGAGGAAACATATCCATTTTGGAGAAGGTCGCTCTCTCCAGAGCTGGGTTCGTAGGTTTCTTGTTTAAATCTTTGTGTTTCTCTCTCTCTTATTTTCTTCCTTACAACGTCTTATGCAGAGGTTTCTAATGGTCAGTGTTTCCCTCCCGAGTCCTGCTGGCTTGTCTTCACCTTTATTCTTGCTGGAATTTCCACCTCACCAGGAGGAGGGAGAGTAGCCCCTGAAATCAGCAAAGAGGGCACAAGCCGGGAAAAGGACACGGGTTTCCTCTCAAAAACAAAACGCATGTATGTTCTCTCCAGTTCCTCAAAGTGTCATTTCCTTTATCCTACAATATCACGAGTATTTCCCGAAAGCCAGTCGTAATAATAATAATAATAATAATAATTAAAGCCAAGACTTGCCGTGGGCATCACACGGCCCCCAGGCAGCTGTGTGGTCTCAGAGGCGTAAACTGACACACATCCCCCGGTACCCGGGACGGACATGCGGGCGGAGGCAGCCGCCGCCGGATAGCCCGAGTGGGAGGCGGCCGCCTTGCTCTTCTCCTCGCCGGGTTCCCCTAGCGGGAGCCTTCCCCAACGGCTACACCCGCTTGGCCAGCCAGCCTCTGGAGGGGAGTCTGAGGAAGAAAGCTGCTGTGGCTGTTGCTGCTGCTGGGGCGGCGGCGGCTGAGATCGCCTGCGAGTGAGCGAGCCCCTCTCCGAGTTCGCTGGCGCCCGCCCTCACCTCCACCTCGCCGACTGTCTGCGCGGCTGAGGATGTACCGGGGGCCGGCTGCAGGCTGGTGCCTCGCTCGCGATCTCTGTCTCCCCTCCGGCTCCCCCCTGCCTTTTCAGGCAGAGCAGCATGTGGATGTCAGAGCCGCGGCAGAGCTATCCGATTACGCGCCGGTTCAGGGCCCGCCCCTTCTGTGTTCCTGATTAAAGAGGCAGCGGCGGAGACGCGCGGCGCAGAGCCGAGTGCCGCGGCACCCAGCTCGGGCGGGGCGGCGACGGCTTCTCCCCGGCTGCCGCAAGATCGAAGTTAAGGTGGCGCCCACCCCACCGCCCCTCGCCCGCCCCACATCTCCCGCTCGCCCCGCGCACCTCGGCGCAGGGCAGCCCATGTGTAACGCCCCGGGGAAGTAGCGCCCCCGGGCACCTCCAGGGCGCGCAGCCCTTGTCCGTGTGGCCCCCACCCGAGGGAGACTCCGCGGGAAGCGGGGAATAGCCTTGTTCCCCCTGAATCCCACGACTCGGATGCCACACACGCAAACGCAACACAATGCCACGCGCAATGGCGTTACAACAGGAGTTGGGTGGCGTACGGTGTTTGGGGTAGCGAGCCGGTCGGCAGCTCAGCCATGCGTTCGAACAGGCAGCGGTGCGTGGCGGCAACACACACCGTCAGCCCGGGCTGAATAAAACCCCAAACACTCCCTGCGTTTACTACTCAGATCCTTTGTTATGTCCCAAACATGCTCTGCTCCTCTCTGGGTTAGGATTTCGTTATCCCTGCGCCTTTAACTTGTAACTATCTGCAAAAAAGGAAAGACTTTCTTCAGCAAAGAAAATTTCAGGTAATTAAATTGGATTCCCTCGAGTTTCCCCGAAAAAGTATAGGTACTTGAAGGCTTCTCATCCAAATACTACTGTAACTACGTCTATTCACATTTTCCCCCATGGAAACGTGGTCACAAAGCCCAGAGAAAGAAAACAGCATTATGCCAACTATTTTTAAATGGAGGCGTGAAAACTGTTTAGAGGGAACTGCAAGCTAACAGTTGGGGAAACACTTGTATCTTTGTTTCTGAGGATGGCTTTCCAAACTGTCTTGCTTCACCAGACACCTATTACTACATTATCATAAAGCCTCCAACAGAAACAGCCCAAATTATACCCTGCACATGTACACCTTTTCTGCCACAAAAGAGGTATGTGAAAAATAAGAAAATTCAGAAAAATGTTTACAGATTAAGGTTTTTTAAATTAAGAAAGCAAAATTTTCTGTAGATTAAGAAAAATACGGTTTTGATGACAAGAAACACACACACCTGACCATCCTATTTTCTTCTTGGCTTGCACTTGTGGATTCTTCTGGGTGGTTTCCCTCCTTATCTGGACTTGCCCATTAGCTTTGTGTATCACTTTTAGTGTTTGAAAAATCTGTAACTCCCACTTAACTGTTATTTACACTGAGATAACCAAAACAAAATTGAATCAGAAGTGATTTGCAAATAGTTGAGCCAAGCTGTGGGGGAGGGGATTTTAGAGTGGAAATCCACAGGCTACGCATCACACTGTTAATCTTAGATGCCTGGTTGGAACGGCATAGAACAGAGGCCTCTGAGCTCTTCCAGGAAGCATGTCTCCTGGCTAGCCTAAATGCTACCCTTCATTCCCTCTTTGCCTCCCTTTTCCCCTCCCTCCCTCCTTTTCTTCCTTCCCACTTCTTTTCTTTCTAGGCTTGAGAGCACATCCACATTATTAAAAACTCCAGATTTACATTTCTCCTCTTTAAAGCTCAATTGTAAAGAATGATTCCAAGCCTCAAATATTTAACAAGGTAAAGAGGCAGTTTGGATTATTAACCTTAAGCAGAGATCCCAGTTTATGTCATTGCCAAGAAGCTAATCTAAGGACAAATAACACTATTCGTAGTGACAGTCCCTGAATAGAGAGGGTCATTTAGTATCACTTCTCCGCACCACTAACCAGGCATGCCAAACCATCTAGCCAGTGCCCAATGTGGGAGACTCCTGTAGCCAGAGTTTAGGTGAAGGGTACCGTGAAAGGGAGAAAGAAGAGAGAAAAAGGAAACTGAAGCCCACTGGAGAACCATAAGAATGACAACCCTGGACTTCCGGTCTTGGGGTGTCAGGGATGAAGGTCCTCATCAGGCTGTTTCCAGAGTAAAGTCAGAATCAGTTTTGTTCCTGGACCTGTTTGCCCACACTATGACTTTTCATTTTTCAGAGGTGCCCTACAGGGGAAGCTCACTGATTTCCTGGGAGTCCTCTGTACCCGAGCTGCAAGACTTACCCCCTTGAGTGAAGGCCTCATTTCCTGCAGTTGGACAGAGAGTCTCAGGTTTCCAGCCCTGGGGACTCAAGCAGCCAGACCATTTTTTAATCCTTTAGGGGGCAGCACTCAATAAATAATGGTAACACCACCTAGGGTCACACTTCTGGTGGGGAGTTTCAAAGGGCTTTATCAGACCAGGGAAGATTCAGAATGAGGCCGATCTCTCCCCAGGCTACTCTGAGCAAGACTCCACCAGCCCAGGGAGAGCTTAGAATTGCTTTAACCTAAGACTTCCAAGGACTCTTGGGAACTAAACACAAATCCCACATATGTCACATGGAAAACAAATCTTTAGGGAAATTCTTCACACTGGGACTGGCTCAGACCTTCCGGTCTTGTTTTCCTCTAGACCGGGATCTCGGTGTTTGGCTGCAACTGGTTAGGTTTTGACCAGAGATACAGTGGTGAAGAACTAGACACTGTGCTTTTCAGTATTTTGTGAGTCCATATCCCTGGCCCACAGGGAAGCCAGCCTACCTAAAGGCCGGTGTCAAACAATGGATTTGTGAACGAAAACACTGACCTGACTAGAAAATAGCTAATTAGTGAAGCTAAGATTCCCGGCCACATCACTGACTCACCTAGGATGTTTCATGTCATTATCCTTAATTGTAAAATAATGCTAGATAATCTCATCCCACATTCCATTCCTTTGACGGAAAGGGATGTGGGGGAACATGAAACGGGTTGGTAAATGATGCTAAGAGAAAGCTGTTACCAAGCCACACCCCTGTGGAAAGTTAAGTGTTCCCAGCTAGACAGTTCTAAACCTTATGGTATATCGGTATCCCCTGGAGCAAGTGTTAAAAAAATTCACATCCCTGGGAAACATCTTCCTGCAGATCAAATTCCTTGGATCTGGAGTGGTTTTTGGGAATCTGTATTTTTAACACACAATTTTGGGTGATTCTGATGCAAAGCCTCCACGGGCCACTAGTTGGAAACTTCTGATTTGATGTGTTATATTTACACACAACCTTCTATAAATGCTCACTTGCTGAAGGAAACCGGGACAGGTATTCCTTCACATTTCCTCCCTGGGTACTTTTCAATATGGGGCAGATGTTTCAGGAAAAACCACCAAGAACAAGTTCCCGAAAATGCTGGAGAGGTGGAATTCCCAGATTTACCTGTGACCTTTAACAGCAACTGCAGAGCGCCAATGTGAAAACACCAAAAGCTTCACCTCATGCAGGCAGGAGCTTTGCAGGGACACGTTCCAAGTACCGGCTGATGGGTTTCTGAGCTGGAGCGAGCCCTTTCACCACCAGCCCACTCAACCGTCAGTGGTTACTAGAGGTTCGTTTCAGGTACGGTTTTCCATCTGTGCTCATCCCACTGTACTTGTGATATGCTCATGGATGCATGACTATGCCAGAGGTATGAGAGCAAGACAGAGATTTAGGTCTTGCCTCTTGGGAACACAGGATCTAAAAGCTCCTGAAGTTTCATGCTGCCACAATAGATACCACTTGTCACATAGTGCTTCCCCTTACTGGAGCCCTAACCTCAATAAGCTCTCACCCTGAAAAGTGGCAATCTGAGGCATAATTGCTTCTTCATCTGTAATTTACCACACTGCCCTAGTTAAGGTTTAGCTACATCTGTCTCAGAAGCAAAGCTTCAGTTAAAATGGAATAGGTCCTAATTTATTATTCTCTCTTTTGTTTGATGTCAAAGTCCAGGTTTCTTGTCACTAACGTTTTTTTTTTTTCTTACTTGCCTTTTAAACAATCAACATTTTTTTCCCAGCATACTTGAATATTGTCCAGTAGTTTCTATTTGACATTTCTATTCTAAATTGATATTTCTAGTATATTCTATGTGGTGGGTTTCGAGAATCCTTACAGATTTCCATAAAGTATTGAAATCTCCTTCACTCCCCACTGTGTGTGTGTCTCTTCTCCTCCTCAGACACAAACAATGGATCTGGTAGGAGGGGTCCTTATGAGAGAAAATTTAAAAAGCAGTAGCAAAACGTGCAAAATTCATTCAAACCTCCTTGGAATCCTTGGAAAAGGAACCTAAAAAAGCCTTCTTGCTTCCTCCACTCTGCCTGGCTTTAGCACAAGGCTGATCTCCCTATGATACACTAATTTTTCTACCTTGGGGGCATAAGTGTATCAAAAAGACCCCGTCAACTCTCTCCCTGAAAACAGCACTCTCCAATAAATCCTCTGCAAGGATAGTGGTCTCTGTACTGTTCATATGGCTACTGGGCATTGGAAATGTGGCTAGTGTGAATGACTCACTGAATTGTAGGTTGTATGTAATTTTATTCATTTAAATGTAAATTGCCACATGTGCTTACCAGCTACCATGTTGGACAATTCAGCTTCAGAATCAAAAGACCAGAGCTGAATAATTCCCATAGAAACCCACAGAAATTCACACCCTTATAAATCTCTGTGGTTACCCTACTTGTTTGCCAAGAAAGGAACCCCAGTATCAGCAGAAGTGCTGATTGCCAAGGCAGCATTTGAAAATGCTTGCTGTCTGTTTGGCTAAGGAAGAGAAGGGCTAGCTTATATTCATACTATTTTCTACCATCCTGCGTTCTTTCTATGCTCTCTCGGATGACTTTTCCGGAACATTCACCAGGGGTCAGGGTCTTTATGGTGCTCCTGCGGCTCCTGGCCTCAGCTCCACTCGTCAGCGGAGACCACTGCAGAGAAGCAGGTGGGGCAGCAAAAACCTTGAGGACAGGGCAGCTGGACCTTCGGTCTCTACTTGGGTGTCCTTGAAAATTCTGTTAACCAATTTGGAACCACTTGCCTCACCTTTAGAATGATGGGTTGATCTGAAT